CAGCTCCAACCCTGAAAAAAAAACTCACCTGCCTATAGCCTTAGTAATCCTGAAGACATTGATTAGCTTGTTCAGGTGTGTTTGATTAGGGTTGGAGCTGAACTCTGCAGGACTGCGGCTCTCTAGGACCGAACTCGCCTACCCCTGGGCTAGGTCATAGTTCATGTCCACAGTTTCACATACTTCATTCATGATTTCCTATGTTGGCTCTACCTCTAAGTTCTCTTCATCATCTTCATCATCACATCTGTCATTTGATTCTTCACATCAGTTATGATCAAATGAATGATCAAGGGTCTTATGCTGATACAGAATGTAATATGAGGCAGGCACAGGCAAGCCATATACTTTAGAGCTGAGAGAATAAGCCATGTTGTTATTTTGATGTATTGTGTACACACTGCACCACTGTAACTTTTGTCTTGCTCTTCAGATCGACTGGCTTCTATTCGCTCATATGATCAAATGTCAGAGGTAAGCATTTCAGTTGCAAAAAGTTTTACCAACTTCCAAAACTTCTAAACAAAATTGTAATTGTTATAAATTATAAAATTTGAATTTAAATATTAAATAATTATATAAATTATATATTGTATATAACAAAATCAACAAATTATATAATATATAATTACATAGCCTAAATATAAACAGAAATAAAAAAATATTATTTTAAAGAATTATTATTAATGATAAAATTCTAAATGTCATAGACTTGCACAGTATGTAGCAGTCAAAAACACAGGCTTTTAAAAATATATATACATTTCACTCCCTCACGATCCCTGTCTGTGCAACATGGAAGAGACGATTTGACTTATGCTTCAGTGCATGCATACACATTTCATTTTCAACAGCTATTGTTGCATGGTGCAATTGTTTCTAATTACAGCCTGTCACAGCTGAATATGGTCTTCTGCCAAAGACGAGATTAAAATCAATCTGCTGAGACAGCCTGAAAAAAAATAAGTGAGAAGTAATCTGTAAATGAGGGAAGAGAAGCGAGAAAGACTTGGGTGGGCCATGCCAGAGGGATGGGATGACATTTAGAATATTTAAAAAGCGAAAATATTTGAGGTCATTCTTGACCCCAAGCAAATAATCTTCATTTTATCCATATCATATAATCACACATCATATAAGAACATTCTTTATTCCTTGTCTTAAAGAAATAGCTCACTCCAAAATGAAAATTTACTGACAGTTTACTCTACCTTAGGCCATCCAAGATGTAGATGAATTTCTTCATCGGAACAGATTTTAAGAAATCCAACATCACATCGCTTGCTGACCGGTGGTTCCTCTGCAGTGAATGGGTGCCATCAGAATGAGAGTCCAAACAGTTTATATAAACATCACAATAATCCACAAGATTCAGTACATCAATTAACGTTTTGTGAAGCCAAAATCTGCATGGTTGTAAGAAACAAATTCATCATTAATAATTACTTGTGGATTAATGTAATGTTTTTATCAGCTGTTTGGTCTCTGATTCTGACGGCACCCATGCACTGCAGAGGATCCATTGAAGAGCAAGTGATGTGATGCTAAATTGCTCCAAATCTGCTCTGACAAAGAAACAAACTCATCTACATCTTGGATGGCCTGAGGGTGAGTATTCTTTGAGCACATTTTCATTTTTGGGTGAACGATTCCTTTAATTTGTTCAGATATTTTCTTTTTATTCAGGATGCTCTCAGACAGAGGCTGAAATTGCTGTCTACTGAGAAGTGCGGCCTTCAATCCCAACTGAAGGACTTCCAAATAAGAATTGTGCAGGAAGGAAAGGTGAAGTCCTACACCATCATATCTTCCACCATTGTTCCTACTATGAAAACTTCTCTCTAGTCAAGACATCACGTATCTTGTTGTACAAAATCTCCAGCTATTAATTGTAACATAAATTACATTAACATGAGAAAGTGAAAGAGTTTAGGTCTGGGCTGCTGAATTCCCCTAGAGGTATAATAACAATGATTTCACAATTATGCTGACATGAGAGTCCTAAGTGGAAGAATAAGGAAGGATTACAATTTGTTACTTGGTCATACATTACAAAGACAGATAAATAAAGACATAATTGTCTTTATTATGCATTCTATTCCTAATAGACTTACCAGAAAGTCTACGAAGAGAGGCGGGCGTATCTTGCAGAGATCGCAAAGGTGAGGAAGGCATTTAAAAGAAATTTTCCAGTTTGTGCTTTCAATTATGTGTATTCACTTGACAGATGTTTTTATCCAAGGCGCTGTACAGTGTAGGTTTTGTCATTATGTGTGTTCCATGAGAATCAGACCCATCACTGTGGTGTTGAGCTACTTGACCAAAGATATTATCCAAAGTGCTGCGTATAAATATTGATAATGTGTCCCTATAGCTGTCTTCAATGCTGGATATGAGCAGAAAGCAGCAGATGGTTCAAGCCCAGAGGAAAGCGCTGGGTTCAGACAAAACGTAAATGTGAAAACGCACTGTACATCATGAAATGACACCACTTTGGTTCATAGGAAACAATGCCAGGTCTTATTTTTTTTTCTTTAAACATTTTTTAGCAACATGGAAAAAACATGCAGGGTTGAGCCATTCAATTATTACAAGTAAATCAACACTGTGAACAGAATGTGATTTTATCATCATGTATACTTACTAATTTCACTGGTATATTTAAAATCGTGAGTAACAAGACCAATCCTTTCAATCTCAGTAGACTAAGAATGAGTAATAACTTAAGGGATAGTTCACCCAAAAATTATTCTGTCATTATTTACTCACCGTCATGTCTTTTTAAACATTATGTATTTCAGATTTCTTTATATTTGTACTCTGCAGAAGAAGTCAAACAGGTTTTGATATATAACCATTTCTAGGTGAACTCTCCCTTTAATATTCAGTTATTCAGGTTTAATTGTCCTATATGAATAGACACAGTAGACGGATGATCTGTCTTTGATTGCAGTAATTGTACTTTTAAATACATTTTTAGAATGTTGGATATCCTAAATCTTGTTTTTTGTTTTGTTTTGTTTAAAGCAGAGGCCAGGAGAGTATGAGGCAACATTCAAGTATGATGAAGGGGTCTGTCAAAAAAGCACCAGCAAGGAGTCGACTCCCTCGATTAAAACATTAATGCAGTTCAGGGATCTTCAACAGGGCGGCCATCAATTATTGTTTGATTATTTTTGTCAAAGTGTTTATGTTTTTTACGTTTTTATTTTATTTTATTATTTTTTTAAGAACAGTAAAAGGATGCATAATTTTTCAGAGGCCACTCTGAACTTGAATGATATTCACTAAATACTTTAAAATAGTTTTAGAAAATAATTTCTTGGCTTATTTTAGTGGGTTTTGTCTTATTTTGGCTTATTTCATTTCAAGGTCATTTCTTTAATTAAATATATTGTCATATCAGATGCTAATTCTGTTATGAAAACTTCCCAGATAGCAAGCAACCACTGAAACAATGTTAAAGGGGTCATATGATGGTATTTAAATTTTTCCTTTCTCTTTGGAGTGTTACAAGCTCTTGGTGCATAAAGAAGATCTGTAAAGTTGCAAAGACTAAAGTCTCAAATTCAAAGAGATATTCTTTATAAAAGTTAAGACTTGTCCACGCCTACCTAAAACGGCTCGTTCTAACACGCCCCCACATGTCTACGTCACTGTGTGGGAAGATTTGCATAACACCGCCCAAATGTTCACGCAAAGACAGAAGGCGTAACTTTTATTCTCGCTGTAGTATTGTTGCTGCCGCCATGTCGTGAAGACGCTGTGTTTCGTTGTGAAAGCGAAACTACTTTGTTTGGCCTTCCAAAAGAGGACGATATCCGCTTCGTCATGCCTGGAGCTGATCCGTGCTGGTCGCTGAGGAAATACATCAACTTCACGCTGTGGATTGCCGGATCGGCTTTCACCGTGGACGAAGCGGAGTCCAGCCCGGGGTCGTCACATGTGGTTGCCACAAGCCCGTCGGCCACTCTTTCGTCGAATCCGCCGGTTGCGCCGTTCTCAAGACCGCCGGCCGTTCCTCACTCTAGGCCGCCGGCCGTTTCTCAGTCTAGCCCGCAGACGATTTGTGACGCATTTTATGGAGGACTGTTTCCTGAACCTGCAGACTAGCCTACAATGGGTCTGTGCTCAAAGGCTGTTCTATAAAGTGGATCAGTTCCAACTTTGCAAGGACAGTCTGGCGCTTCTGACTCACAGCCTGTAAGTAAATTTTTTATATTTAAAGAATTTGCCACTGACGATTCAAACACGAGTTTTAAACAGTGTAGAGTAGCGCTTGTTGTTTGTAGTTTCTCCGTTTACAAATGCAGACATGGTTTTATGTTTACGCGGCGCGATATGCAACGCAATGCGTAAAAAGTATAAGTATAAGTATAAGACAGTATAAGTCATTATAATCCGTAATTATGTCCCCACTGGATGCAACAAATGCCTCGTTTGTAATGGGTTTTATTGGTTTTGTCTGGTCGTGCCGGGAGACGGCATCACAGTATGTTAAGGGACGTAACATTTGCATCACACGCTTGAGGTATTCAGCCAATCACAACGCACTGGATAGCTGGCCAATCAGCATACACCTCGCTTTTCAGAAAGATGAGCTTTGTAATAATAGACGCGTTTCAGAAAGGTGGGGCATAGAGGAGCAACAATAATGTACATCTGTTTCAGAAAGGCGGGGCATAGAGGAGAAACAATAATGTACAGTATGTGGAAAATAATGTTTTTTTTGAACCTTAAACCGCATAAACACATTGCATTACACCAAATACACAACATAATGCTCTTTTTTAGCAATGTCATATGACCCCTTTAACTTAATGTTTATGTGACCGTGCTAACTGCATTGAATTAATGTTACAAAGTGATGTTGGTTCTACATCACTTTTGCACCCGCAATTAATGTTGAAACAATGGGGATATTTCAACAACAACAAAAAATGGTAATGTCATTGAATCGACATTATGAAGTAATGATGGTTCATCATCACTTACTGTATTCACCCTCAGTTAATGTTTAATTAAAGGGGTCATATGATGCGATTTCAAGTTTTCCTTTCTTTGTGAACCTAGGAGAGGAGGTAATTCTTACTTTGCTATGACAATCTGACGCTTCTGAATCAGCTACTGTTATGTTACTAGTTTAAGTATTTGCTATTGACTGTTCAAATGCGGAGTTTTGCACATCGTGTGTGTGTGTGTGTGTGTGTGTGTGTGTGTGTGTGTGCGTGCGCGAGCGAGCGAGAGAGAGAGAGAGAGAGAAAGAGAGAGAGAGCGAGAGATAGGGGGGTCACATCACAAACACATACCAGCTTCATCACTGTGTCTGTCACGCGACTCTGTGCCCCTTTCGGGCTCTGTCTTTACATTTATTTTGAAAGATGAAGCTCGCGATTATGGTAAGGGGCGTTACATTTCCGACGAGTGCTTGCGGTGTTCGGCCAATCACACTGCACTGGGTCTTCTGGCCAATCAGAGCAGACTGCGCTTGTCAAAGGAGGGGGCTTTGTAGAAAACGAAGCGTTTGAGAGAGGCGGGGCATAGAGGACCTACAATAATGTACAGTATTTGAAAAATAATGTGTTTTTTGAACATTAAAGCATGTCAACATATTCTGTTACACCAAATACACAAAATAATGATCTTTAAAAAAGCATGACCCCTTTAAAAAAAAAAAAACAGTTTTCTCAATTGCTTAAATACACTTGTCCACTCAGACATCACATTTTCAAAACAGTTAACATACAGGCTGAAACTGAAGCTCAATGGCCAAAATGACTAATTTTGTTTGCAAAATGCTCCAACACTCACAAAACATTAAAGTGCCCCTATTATGAATTTTTTTTCAAAAGAAAGAGTCGACTCCGAGTCATGAAAACTAGTCATTTTTAAAACGAATGTTAAGCTGTTTCAAGTTGACGTCAACATGAAACATTAGCATATTTATGCCCGCCCACTTGTTAAGCGCGCAGACCCGGGAAAACCTCCCCTCCCTCAAACACTGTAGCGGATTCCTGTGGAGAAGACGCTGTGCTCTGCACTGTGAGGGTAAATCCGTTAGGGCAGTGGTTTTCAAACCTCTCCATGAAATACCCCCAGCACTGCACATTTTGTATGTCTCCCTATATCTGACACACCCACTTCAGGTCTTGCAGTCTCCACTAAAGAGCTGAAGAGTTGAATCAGGTGTGATAGATGAGGGAGACATACAAAATGTGCAGGGCTCGGGGTACTCCAGGACAGGTTTGAGAACCACTGTGTTAGGGTATAGTTAGGGTACCCCCTGAGCTTCAAGTACATTATTCTCGAAGAACTCCCAACTCATTTTCTCCTCCAACTTCAAAATCATCTTACATTGCTGCAGAAGCACCGACCCAGTGTTTACAAAGTGAACAGTGCAAGGAGGGTCAAACACCCTTTACAAAAAATAAATAATAAATAAAATAAAGGTAAAACAATGATGTAGGATGACTTTGAATTTGGAGGAGAAAAGTGTTGGGAGTTTTTAGACATACCCTGTCTTGAACCATTGTACACACAGACAATGAGTACGCATGCGCCTCTCAGAGACAAGATGAGCATTTGTGGTTAAAAAGTGTATAAACAATTTTTTTTAAGAAAATGACCGATCGTTTAGCTAAATAAGACCCTTATTCCTCGGCTGGGATCATGTAGAGCCCTTTGAAGCTGCACTGAAACTGCATTTTTAACCTTCAATCCGTTGAGCACCACTGAAGTCCACTATATGGAGAAAAATACTGGAATGTTTTCCTCAAAAACCTTAAATTCTTTGCGAAGAAAGAGCGACATGAACATCTTGAATGACATGGGGTGGGTAAATTATCAGGAAATTTCTATACTGAAAGTGGAGTAATTCTTTTAAAACTGTTGCTGTCATGTACTCTGCACTGTAGCATGCAAAATAAGTATTTAGTTGTGTGTGTTGTGTTGCTCCACACAGCTTGTAGGTCTCCGTCTATCCGGCTAACAGCAATATCTGTTCGCTCGCAATTGTTTAGAAATGTGTCGATGAATAGTGAATGTTTGTCGTTGTTATTACTTGGAGTTCTGATAAAGAAAGAATAGAGCTATACTTTGGTGTACAAACTGCAGTGCTTTATCAATACGTTTCTGCATTAGGCTAATGCATATACCATGGCTGTTTGGGTGTTTACCAACAAGCTGTGAGCTAAATAATGGTTCCGTTATTGACATGCGCTGCACGCAGTAGACCAATCACAACACAACCAGTTGTTGGGGACTCCCAAAACCAAAATATGAACCTTTCATTACCCATAATAGGGGCACTTTAAAAACATGCAACATAAGCAAATACTTCCATCAAACACCACAGCTTGTGGTCAAATTAATTTATTCTTTCAATCAATCATTACACAATGGACAACAAAATACAAAACACAGCTATCAATATGGAATTACACTGTTCAAATTCAGAAGTGTTGAATATGGTTTAAAAAAACAAAGGAAACTTATGGGTGGTAATATCTAAAAAAAACCCACAAGGAACAGTTGAAATACTCAGAACTTCAAATTGGATGTTTTCCCTTGCAGGGTTGCAATGCACCAATGGAAATACCTCCTTGCATGGCAAATCCATCAACAGCCCTCTGGGTGGGACTGATGAAACATCTGCATTACTGTAGACAAAGTTTGTTCTGCCAAAAGGGCAATACAGTAAAGCTGAAATACACAGTGGTATACAGTAACATTGTGACTTACCTGTTGTCATTTTGAAAAAAAGCCTGGCAATAGATGCCACAGTGCTCTGACTCAGAATGGGTTGGACCCTTTGTCCAGCCTCTCTAATGAAATTCATTGTTGCCTGAATTTCATTTGAAACTTGAGCTGTATTTTCTCCTTTTACAGTAATGCAGCTCCTCCACCATGTATGCAAACTCCTCTTTCTCTGGTCCTCTGCCATGATCTCTTACTCTCCTTCCATGCCTTTGGTCTCTTTGATCCATACTTGCAAATAGCAGGACAGAGGTGGAATCTTTTATAGAGGGATGAGGACTGATTGCTTATTGAAGAGTTGTGCAAATGAGTTTCACACAGGTGCATTAGAAATTCATAATTATGCAAGTACTTTCTATCAGCTGTGAATAGATGTTTGAAACACACAGCGTCTTCACGACATGGCGGCGGCAGCAACAATACTACAGCGAAAATAAAAGTTACGCCTTCTTTCTTTGCGCGAACATTTGGGTGGTGTTATGCAAATCTTCCCACATCGTGACGTAGACATGTTGGGGCGTGTTAGAACGAGCCGTTTTAGGTAGGCGTGGTTGACTCTTAACTTTTATAAAGAATATCTCTTTGGATTTGAGACTTTAGTTTTTGCAACTTTACAGATCTTCTTTATGCACCAAGAGCTTGTAACACTTCAAAGAGAAAGGAAAAATTGAAATCGCATCATATGACCCCTTTAAGGCATTTGCAAGAGAAGACTTCTGCTGTGCTAAGAATGTGATGATGAAGATCAAGTGGATCCCAGTTTCATTAAGCGTGTCTTAGCAAATGAGAAAAACTGTAACATGTAATTGAATCAGTGTTACACTATGATATTGATTCTACATCACTGTTGTTGAGCCAATATAGAAAGTAACAAAAAAAAATTGTTTTAATGTGATTAAAATTTGATGTTCATTCTAAACCACTTTTTTTTTTAAATGAAAGTACTTCTGAAATGTCAACATAAAATAATTTTGCCATCTGATGTACCAAGTTAACATTATGGCCTGTGTTCAGCTACACTTCAATGGCACATCAACAAACTCCTGACCATTTCAAAGTTTGGGGAAAACCTTTTAAAATAAAAATGACACATTTCCAGCAGTTGAGTCACTTTATTTGTTTCTAAACAGTTTTACACAATCAATGACAAAAAGATCAGTCTTAAAAAAATAAAAGTGGGACAAAAAGGACACAAAAAGGACATAACTACAACCTTTAAGATAATTACTTTCAGGTGCCTGAAGCCAGACTACTTAGTGGTCCAATAGTTTAAAACCTGGCTCGCATCAGACTGCTGACTCTTTTCCTTTGGGTTCTCTGAAATCTGAATCTCATCATATTTAATAACTGATTAAGGAATATGGATACTGACCTGACAAAGCAGTAATCAGGGAGCAGGACATAAGGCACAGGATAGCATAATTGTATCAATGTCTCTACACTGTATCAGTGTCACCTTGCTATCTGGGATTTTCATTGCATGCTACTATGAAGAGTCAAGGTTAAGACGATGTATTTTATATAATTATGTAATTTTAGAATACACCTACATAATTATATTTAAGACTAATTAATGTAGTTAATGTTATTTGAATGATCAAAGCGAGTTTGAGCATGTGTAGGAACACATGTTCGCTCTGAGTCGTGAGGGAGCTTCGAGAAAGAGACTTTGTGGAGCAGCCTCACCGGAGAGGAACGTGCGGGGTGTGTGTGTGTGTGTGTCTGTGTGTGTGTGGAGGGGCAGGGAGGGAGGGATGGCTGGCTGTGGCAGGTCTGCGGTGCGGGGCTGAATTTAAATGAGAAAGTGGCCAATGTAAATCACTGCAAGACACGGAGGAGAGAGAGTGAGAGAACAGCAGCTGCCGACCGACCAGCCAGCCAGCCTCCTCTGCGGGACAACAAAGGAGGTGCCGGCCTCACATCACGACTCCAGTCAGCACAACTCAACATCTGAATCGTGACCATTACGAAGAAACCTTGAATATTCCCTAAATCTCCACCTTTAGGCAAGTAGAAAGGTCTGTTTCTTTTCTGTAAGTAGAAATAAAGCAAACCGAAAACTCGCAAATATGTTGACCTGCCTTTGAATGTTGTTTTGCTCATTCTAATTCATTTTAATAGCTCAGCTTATCAGTTATGTCACTGTTAAATGGTCAGCGACGTGACGTTCATTTTTGTCCGAATCTAAGTTATTTAGGCTACATTAAGAAATTAAACTGAAACAAAAATGACTTGATCATGTTTTCAGTTTAAGGATTAAAGTCATTTTCCTATGTTTGCGCGACTATGTCAAACTGGTGAAAATGTAATTCGACAATCTGATCATTTCTTTTAATAGGCCTATATAAATATCAGCGTCACTTTTTTGTGTGTCTGTAGCCTACATGTTTTTAACATATTTTATTCATATATATTTTGAGCTATTTATGAAAGGGCTTGCGTTCAGGTCGAAAAAACCTAGGCTATTACTAAAAATGAATTTGTTCAAATTAAAAATAAAACCCTGAAATATGTTTTCAAACGTTTTTTTTTTTTTAAAACGTACTTTTTACTTGACAGTTAACCCACTTTGAGAGTTTTTAACCTGAAATAGCTGTAAAAATTATAGAAATATTTTTCAAACATGTATGAAAGCAATATCTCATTCTAAGAACTTGGCACGTTTTGAACTCGGCTAGATTTTTAACATCCTTATCGGACACTGATCCTGAAACACAAATAACCATTAGTCAACGTATTAATGTAGGCTATAGGCTACTAAAAAAGAACAGACTTTTGAGCACGTTTTCAAATGTCAAACGTTAGTGTTTGCCATGTCAAAGTGACAGACACCCATGTCAAAGGGTTGAAGGATCAAACCTACACGGTTAGTTTGGTAACCTCTCTTTTCCACATTTAATTTGTACGCTTTAGACCTAATTTGACTGGACGACATGGAGGAACACTTTGACGAGAGGGACAAAGTGCAACGCAACAGCCGAAGCGCAGGCCGGGCGAACGGGCTGCTCAGCCCCACTCACAGCGCCCACTGCAGCCTGTACCGGACGCGCACCCTCAAATCTCTGAGCCAGGAGAAGAAGGCGAAGAAAGTGCGCTTTTACCGCAATGGTGACAAGTATTTCAACGGCATAGTGTACGCCATCTCATCGGACCGCATAAGAACCTTTGACGCTTTGCTGGCCGACCTGACCCGAACCCTCTCTGACAACGTCAACCTGCCCCAAGGGGTGCGACTCATCTATACAATGGATGGTTCCAAAAAAATCACCAGTATAGATCAGCTGGTGGAAGGTAAGAAGTTGTCTAATGCCGCCCAAACCACTACACGTCGGATTGTTGTTTTTCTCACTACACAGCTGTCTGATGTCAGTCAAACACATTTCACGCTATGAGTTGTAGACAGACCAAGATATTTAACCTGCTACTGCTATATAGGCCTATCTCTCGGGCATTCTTGAATGCGTCTTTTATCATTTAAAATAAGCGATCGTCACTCAAATGATCACGCACTGATTTGCTTCCCATTCTTTTCTTTTTTTTGTCTCCAAAAAAAAAAAAATGCCTCCAAGCATATCGCTGCAGCCCTGAGACCTTAGAGTGGGCGGAGCTTATGTCTCAAGTAGGCGGAGACACTCCATATTGTGGGGTTTAGGGGCGGGGTTAGGTATGGACCTTCCGATTCTGCTACGCCGTCTTGTCTCTGGCTTCGGGCTACAGCGAAAATCGGGGCTAAAATCTAGGCTAGTTTGTGGGCTTTATAAGTGCCAGTTCACATAGAACATATTTTTGTTTCCCCGCATTGCTTTTTAATTTTTTTTACATTTATTTATTTAAAAAAAAAAAAATTATGTGAACGCTAGACAGACATAATGTTGCCGCTGCATTGCATCTCGCTGTTCTTTCAGCATCTCGCGCAAGAACACAGTGTTTTTATCATGTAAAATTTAAAGCATTTCAACTTTTAAAAATGCATTACGACACGATCTCATGAGAAAACACGAGTAAGCAGATTGTACAAAAGTGCACAAATTATTTTGCGTGAATTTTGTATAAATTCATACAAATTAAGGTGACCACTTCCTGGGCACACGTTCTGCCCAGAATTTCTAAATGACCTAAAATATCCTGTTTGCGCTGCGCCGATCGATCGTTGTATGACATCAAAGTACCGTGAGAGCTATAGAGTACAGCAGACGGCTCCTTATGCTTTCGAATCGCTCTCGCGGTACTTTGATGTCATAAAATGATCGATCGGTGCCGCGCAAACAACCAACACCTGGTTATTTTAGGCAATATAGAAATCCTGGGCAGAACGTGTCCCCAGGAAGTGGCACGTCTGGTCACCTTAATACAAATTCTAAATGTTAAATAGTTTCATATTGCCATGGAAGTGCATAGAAAATTACTTTTCTATTTCGCTGCCCTTTGTTTTGCGCTTTGTTGTTGTTGTTTGTAATGCAACAATGTATTCTGTGTGAACGGCTTTTTAGTCTATTGAATATGATTGAATTTTAATAGCATATTGTTTTATGAGATGCTCTAAAAATGGTGTCTTGGATGCTGTCGGATTCTCTTTTCAAAATTAGAGCAGTAGAAGTGACGATAAGGATACAGAATTAGGGCACTCGATGAGCATTTAAGTCTGCATGGCTTTACCTTAAATCAATGCATTTTAACAGAGATGACAGCTCAATCGACAGTGAAAATCACCAGTCACTGCCTCGGGTCTTTTACCCTAAAATGCACTCATTCTTTTCATAGAAAATGTGTAAAATCTCACACATTGTATTATGTCACTATGTTCTCTCCGTAATTTTAGGTGAGAGTTACGTGTGTGGCTCCACCGAAGCCTTTAAAAAACTCGACTACTCCAACAATGTCAACCCTAACTGGTCTGTGAATGTGAGGGCCTTGGGCTCCAGCAAATGCCCCACGTCTCTAGCCAGCTTGAAATCAGGACCGCAGTCCAAAGAGAGCAAAGACTTCATCAGACCCAAACTGGTCACCGTCATCCGCAGTGGGGTGAAGCCGCGGAAGGCAGTTCGCATCCTGCTTAACAAGAAGACGGCTCACTCCTTTGAGCAAGTTCTCACTGACATTACAGATGCTATAAAGCTCGATTCTGGCATTGTCAAGCGGATCTACACTCTTGAGGGAAAACAGGTAAGACTGCCAGTTTATGAATGGAAATCTTGATACTGTTGCCATAATTTAGTCAATTCCCTGCTGCCATTTCAGAGTCTGAAAGAGAATCTGTTTTGTGTTGAATCATGATGGAACTTTGTTATGTAAAGTTGATTCATTCATGTGATTTGACCTCAGACAACTAATGAATTTCATAATAGCTTTTGTTATGTAAGCTCACCCTTTGAACTGGCACGGAAAACCTGAAAGCATACTGAGATTGCACATTGGGAGTCCCGGATAATTGAGTGGTTATGAAATAGAAATGTTAGAAATGATTCATTTATCAACAGCAGAATTCCTCGTATGTTATTGTTATCATTTGACTCAAACACTGCATAGAGCTAAAAGTGTTTCAAATAGTTCTTCTCTTGTAAAACCCACAAGAAATATCCTAGAATTAGGGGGCTCAACATCCAAACAATGTGGCTTTTGTTTTTTAACCTCTGAAATGAATTCATCCCACAAGCCTTGAATTATAAATAATGAAGTCTCATTATTTCAAATGCTACAGCAGAAATCTTCCCCTAACATGCAGCAAGATTTATGGCAGATCTAGTCTAGTTTATGAATGGGAATCTGTGTCTTTGCCCACGCACACTCAACATGAGAGAACTGGTGGCTCAGAAATAACTTGGGCTTCTGCTCTCATTTAAATTCCTCCCACCTTTTTGTGTCGCTCTGAAACAGCTGTGCCACCCCACACATGCAGAATGACAGAAGGGCACATGCGTGCATGATGTGCTTTGATGCACGTTAATAAATATTTGATCATTCACATTGTAAGATGAAGTGCAGTTCAAAAGTTCACTCGTGAAAGTAGTTTTTTTGTTTTTGTTTCTAATTTAATGTACTGTTTTCATAACATTATATTATTAGGATAAAAAGTTTAGTGAAAATTGTAAAAAATGCATATTTATTTACATTCATTTTATATTTTAATTGGGTGCGTCCAGTAAAAAAGTAAAAAGGCAGTAAAAAAGGCAGTGGTAAAGCTGTATGAACTTCTGATCCAAAGAGCATCATGTGCTTCAGGAAGGAAATTTGACCTTTTGTCACATGACTAATGTTGCAAATTTGCTTAGTAACCTAAAAATAGTGTATAATCTTAAATATTTCGAAATCATTTTACATAATTTTTTCTTAAAAGGTTATGTTTATTTCCAGGTTTAATTCTGAATCAGGGCTATTTTAATATTTCATTGAGATACGATGATACTTTTTATTAATATTTTGAATTTGTTTTTCTTTATCTGTTTCCAATATAATTTATTGTAAGTTTCAGTAATTTGTCATTATTTTTATTATTAAATATGTGCATGTGCAGTTTTTTTTTTTTTTTAATTTGAGTTATTTTAATACATAAAGATTAACTAAATGCAAATGAGAAATGCGGCCTTGTCAACTACAGTAGGTGAAATAAAATAAGTTAACGTTTTTTGGGATTTTATTTTAATTCAGTTAAAGTTTATTCTATTTCATTTAACAACATTTTTTTTTTTTTTATGGTTTTAGTTTTAGTTAACTATAATAACCCTGTTTTGAATCCCAGAATTTTTAAAGTGGACTTTTGAATGTCACTGTACATACTCATCTTTCAATGTGTCTCTTCTCAGCCAGGTAAAATGTGCAAATAAGCAGACGCCATTTGGCTGAAATTCATTAAACTCTAATTAATCTATGCACAGACTTCTCTCCATTGATCTCTGTGCTGGCGGCTCCGCCAGTGTCTCAGATCTTCAGACTTGGTCTTTTCTATTTGAAAAGCCCTCTAAATCACCTTGAATGTGGAAAACCGGAGCACTTCATATCGTGTGCAGTCATGCATAAGACTGCCTTTTTAGAGTAGCTGTATTGAGCAACAAATATGTATTTTGATATTCCTTCCTCCCACTGTGTGGGTCTGATATCAGAGGTTACACAGCACGGCATCAAAGCCCTGGTCACCATCCAGATAAAGTAAGAGCATTATGGGTAGCGCTAATTTTAGAACAGGGATCGATTGGGCCTGAGGGAGCTGTCTAATGAACAAGCCCGGCCTGCACAGTTACAGCACATGATTTTGTCCTGATAGAATTATGAACAAAAGCAACAGAAACCAGGAAAGAGAGACAGAGAGAGAAAATAAAAGGATATAATAAAAGAGTCTTTCTGGGTTAGAGGAAAAAAAGATGAACGCATTACTGAAATGAAATGGGAGGTGGAGAAGTTCAGGTGCACAATTATCAAAGCAATAAAAGTATATCTTCCTGTTTATTGTCCAGTTTGAATGCAGGATCCAGGTGTGGAAGCAGCTTATGCCAATATTATTGTTGCTGTGCTTATTTGATGTATTACAAAAGAAAATCTGACTGTTTAGGTGATTAATGGAATTTCTAAAGCAATTGTTAGTTAAGTTCTGTGTTGTTGAGTCATGAGGTAGTTCATTATCTTTTACATAACATGATTGTCTTTTTGGTATTATGTCATTGCAGCCATTTTTCACTAGGCTCGTGTTGGTTTAGCAAAGTTTGCAAAAAAAAAAAAGAAAAACCTTAAGAAAATCCATGTAAATTCAATTTCATCTGCTGAGAGAGAGTTCAGTAAGTGAGCTGAGCCAGGATATTATTCAATAGACCAAAATGTTTAGCATATTTCTGCTGTGTTAATGTATGTAAATGAACGTGTCTGTGCCTTATGAAAGAAAAATAAGGATTTCTGCTTTCAGTCAGTGAATAAAATTACAGTTTATCACCTGCCTTGGTGGAGTCTACTGTAAAATGTGCTCCAAACAGAAAATGTTAATGGCGTATCACACATTGTA